ATAAACTGGCCCCCCATTTGCTCTGCATAGTCATTTTGATTTCTGGAAAAATATCGGTGAAATCTATGATTTAAGTATATTTTATAGTGAGAAGATAAAGAATGTAAAATAAAGTGATGGATTAAATTCGGCCTCTGTCACATGCATCTATACAAAAAAGGAATTGCCTAAATTTGAATCCTTTTAGGTCTTATCATAATTTCATGTTATACTTTTGTTTTGATTATCTTGGAATCGTTTAATGTGAATAGAATTTATGAAGAGTAGCTGTGTAACAGTGGTTCAAAATGTCTAAGTGTTCTGTAACTTATTAACTAATGCTATCCTGGGAAAAATATTTTAAGAAATATTTTAAAAAATGCTAAATTTTGTTCAGCATTTTATAATGTATATATCAAAATTCAGAGTTAATTCGTAATTTATAATAATAATTATATATTTACTTTTTCTTTGATCAGTGCTTTAAAGTTTTTTTTAAAGTTTTAAATACTTTTTGGAAAATAGAAGACTGCAAAAGTATCTGTATCTATTGAAAAAGAAAAAAGAAAAAAACCCTAAAAGGCAGGCAGGATGCTTACATGAAATGAATTGATTTCCTTTAATTTCTAGTATTCTGTTTGGGTGGAACTTGGAGCGTTAGGGTTGAATATTCCAGGTTCAATGATCAGTTGGAACAACTTATTTACTGTCTTCCCTGTCCACAAATACAACTATTTGATCACCCAATTTTACAATGTAAGCTGAATTTTTTTTCTTGCAGTATGATGCATTATTATACATCAATATCAAGGCCCTTTTTATTGGGTATTAGAATTTTTGCATATTCGGCAAACATTCTTTCAAAGCTGCTGTACTTAATAGCTAACAGTTGGTTTTTAGGAACATTATCTTCTCAGCATCCTGAATATTTTTTGTAACTCAATCGAATCTGAGAATAAGTGCCATCTGGAAACTTCCTGAAAAACTATTCTGCTTTCTTATACTGTTGGTATGAAATAGGTAGTTTAGAGTAAAAGATATGGCACAAGAGTGGTTTGAGAGATGGAAATTAATCTCTCTAGTTTAGGAATTCTGAGATTACTTGAGAAGCACAAAACTTCCTTTGAGGTTTATGTCCTTTTTCTTGCAATCTGCTACTTTGACAGCCAATGATTTCTTTTAAAATTCTCCTCTTTTCATAAGTAAGCTACTGAGGTTGATACAGAATATCCCAAGTTAAATAACTAATTAGATAACATTCAGTTTACTCTTTAATTCAATCACTACTACTTCAAAGAAAGAACTATTCAATAAATTTCTGGTTTATACCAGGCAGTTACTAGTGTTCTCCCCCTCCCCACAACACACACACAAATTGGCTTGATGTTCTTTTAGCAGTTAATCTGAGAAGGAAGCTGAGTTGGTGCTAGGAAGTAAATTAATATGATATGTTTCCTAACTTGTTCCTCTCTTATAAGGAAAAATATATGAGCAAAGACAAGAATGTTGTGATTCATATCTGCTAACCTAGTTTGACTTCTACAGTATATACAAACTGTTTTCATTTTAAATCTTCAGTGAGCTAGAAATTTTTCTTCATAATAAGACATAATATTGAGGTATGTACATAAGCAGGATTAGGCCTGTACAAAACTTGTGAATTCAACCATTTCCTTCATCTATTTCTCCCACACCCATCTTCTCTGCTGCTGGAATAAAAGATCTTGTCAACCCTTCAAAGAAGACAGATCAGGAAATAGATGTCACAAGGATTACTGGAATTCTAATGCTTTAGGATGTATCAACAGAATTTTGAAAGACTGACATACCTTTACACCAACGTGAATCAAGACAGACCAATCTGGAATTTCTTTCTGACTTCATCCTGCCTTTCAGGGCTTATCTAACATACTGATTACTTTCTTCAAGGAAAGCAGTCCCTAACCTTTGCAGTTTGGCGGCCTGGCTGGGGGGAGATGTAACTGGGCTGTATGAGTGGTGGCCCAGCTTGCATGCATGTGCACAGCTCAAATAGTTGAGCTGCATGTGCACACATATGCATGCCAGCCCACTAGTCACGTACACATGCATGCTGCCTCCCCATTCGTGCAAGTCAAGCAGTCTCGTGCGGCCCCATTGCAAATAGGCTGCAGATTGGTAGTGGGCTGCAGCCCGGGGGTTGGGAACTGCTCTGTCTTACCAATTTGGGTGCTAGACTAATCACTTCCAAACCTTGTTAAGCTGCAATTCCTGGTTTATAAGTAACAATCTAGTATTTATTAAAAGGAAACTGAATTCTGGTTCATTTCTCATATACAATAATAATAATAAAGTTGGAAGGGACCTTGGAGGTCATCTAGTCCAACCCCCTGCTCAGGCAGGAAACCCTATACCATTTCAGACAAATGGCTGTCCAGTCTCCTTGGATATTTAGGAGGGTTGTATAGATTTATGCACATATTCCAAACTTGTTTCCTCATAATGTGTAAACTTGTGGTTGTTAATTTATTGGTTTAGACAGCACACTATATTTTTCATTCCTTTTTTATATACTGCTTGAATCAGTTTTAAGTACTCCAGACTTTCTTAATAAGAACCCATTGCAAAAAGAGTCTATAGATATGGGTGTGTATATAATTTTACAAAGGTAAAGCAAACCATTTTTTATTAAGGAATCCTATTAATGGCCATTACCAATGTCCACGTAAGATACTTGTTTTTGTATTTTTTTCTCTGATAATTTTCTTACATTTATGCCTTGAATAGAATTTTATAAATGCCTGAGGGATGTGCTTTTTGAAAGATATCAGATTCCATCTGCCCTGTTTGATTTACATTTTACTGCCTTTTCTAATGCTTGTAAAGCTTTTATTAGGCTTTATGTAAAGCTATCTTCTATTATCTTAGGCCAATTACTTGGCTTATCTTTTCTTTATTATTACATTAAATGAAGTGAATTATTTCATATGACTCAACTATTAATATATATTGCATAAAGTATACATGTATTAATATATTTATAAATATCATTATTGATGTGAGGATATTCAAAAGCAGATGATAAATATTATAAAAATATAGTCTCTCTTCTTCTGGAGAAGATTGAGATATATTGTCCTATATTTAACTTGTTCTAACTGATATGTTTGCTCACACATCAAAGCAATCTGTTTCATGCATTTGTTAGTAGTTTTGACAACCACTGTTGCTGTCCATCTTAAAATTAGCAAATTCTCCCCTCTCTGCTTTCTGGTTTTTAAAAATACTTAACTAGATAAATATTTATATCTTAAAAGATAGTAAATATATATAGTAAAGGAAGCCAAGCAAAATACAAGGGTTAAGGATATTATTTTAATCATATGTTCTACAACATTAAATAGAATGTTGGTGAATGCAATATTAATGCATTATTTGAACTAGTTTGGGGAAAATCACCCCTTTCCTTTTAGAGATATGAGAATGTCTCATTTAGCTGCTGCTAATTCTCATAATTCATTTATATGAAAAAGGCCCTTTGTCTTTGTATTACTGAGGTGTATGAAGTATGTAGATCATCCCAACTCCTGGCAGACCTAGAAGCAAAATTAGACACTGTATCTATGGTAATGTAGAGATCAGGGTGTTTTTTTTAAAAAAATAGCCATTTAATCCACTGATCTACAATCAATCTGTCAGGGAACTCTCAATAGCTCATTTTATTATTGGACAAATTGTAATTTCAAAAAGATATACTTTGATGTCTAAAGACTATTTTGAGGATCCAGACAGTTTATTTGTGACAATTTTTATATCAATTGATCAGATACTATTTGAAATAGTTTTTAATGGCTAACTCAATTTTATTTTGTGCAGATGCTAAATTTGCATCTGTTCTCCTTTGTGTCTGATAAGTTCTTTTTAATGTTGGTTTCTTATGTTCTACTTCAAGTTTATTTTAAATATCAAATAAAAAAGATCACTACTATATTGATTATTCACCATCATCCCAGCTAGCTTTGGTCTGAATTCAGATTAACATTAAAATAGCAAGTCATGAAGATGAATGCACTAATATGTAAATTGGTAAGAGGTGTGATTTTTTTTGGCCTCATTTTGCTTATCAAGGGAATGCAAGGAAGAAATGAGCTATAGCCCCAGCACCTCACCGTGCATATGATAACATTATTTATGAACAGTGTCTAGTGACAAAAAAAGACATTTGGTTGTTGTTGAAATGTCAATATTAAGAGATGGTGTCAAGAATAACAATCTATTGCATTGTTCTGGGTTGGTTTTGCAAACTTTTGTGTGGATGATGAACCATTTCCACTATTTAAGCAGTAACACTCACGTATTGAAGTGTAAGAATTTACCAATACAAACAGTGAGTAGAATCCAATGAAGTCTAGAAAATTAGTTACCCATCTACAGCACTTCCAAATAATTATAATTTTCTGTTTTCTTGTATTTTTACACAAAGGCTTTCTTTTGGAACTCATGCTCAAATTCCTAGATTTCAGTGCAGGCCTGCATTTCGTTTACATATAATTCCATTGAACTTTCCCTTTCGTATGGCCTCTTTTTTCTGAATATGTTATACACTACTGTTCAGCTTTGTATTCAATCTGCTGTACCAGTATCAGAATACTACAAATAGACCATATTCTCTTGGAAAGTTCTGTTAATGTAAATTGTCCCATTTAATCTGTTGCATAGTTTTGTTGTGGTAGAAAAGTGCCAAGGAAAACTTAATAAGATACATTTAAGTTTTAAAAAGAAAAAAAATCAGGGTTATAGAATGAGACTATTTTGGCAATATATGAAAAACATTTTATTTTTTAATAGTCATAGTTTCTTGGCAAAACTATTCAAAAGTACTAACATTTTTAGACAAACCCGAGACCAAGAAGCCATTTTCACTCATGTTTGATGATTAACTTGGGTAAAATCAAAATTTTATCTAGCAGTGACTATTTAATCTGCTACAAATCATTGTTTTATTTTCTGTTGGACTTTTTCTCCCTCTCTTTTTTTCCTAGGATAAAAAAGATAAAGTTTCCAGGTTTGATACTATTCGACATTCCATTGCTGGTATGATAAGATCACCAAAGTCTATGTTAGGCTCGTCATCGGTAAGTGGGCAGGTAATATATTCTTATGTCTTTATCAAGAAAAAAAATTGCTTTCACCATTTTCTGCATAATTTTCTGTTATTTGCTGCAGGATCATTTATTTGATTAATGTTTACAATACTTCCTATATTGAGAATGGTATTTCCTAGCAGTCTGCAGTAGATGAAACCCTTCGCTAAAGAATTTAAACATTTGAACTCCCAAAGTACAGGTGCACATTCATTTAATAAGCAAAGTTTGAATTAAACCTAAATGTATATAAATAGATTTTATTGTGATCAAGCAAGTCATCAAATTTCAGGTATAATCATAATTGAAAAAAGTGTCTGTCCCTGAGACCAAGTCCATAAGAGTTACCTAGATTCAAGCTTTCAGTCCAATATCAGTCCAGTATCAGAATGCAAAGTTAGGCTAACAGGGTTAAAACAAAAGGATGCTGAAATATCAGAAAAGAAATACTATACACATTTATTGGTCCATTTGGGGCTTCTCTTAGTCATTCATCTGCTTGTCATGTTTGTACCACTGCCTTATCTAATTAAACCTGTGGATGAAGTTTCAGAGTTTTCAGTTAAAAAATGTGCCGATATAAGTTACATCATTTCCCAATCTCAGCCTTTATTTGTCATATGCTCTCACTTCTTGTTAAAAATTTGACTTACCTTGATGCAATATATTATAGGAAAATACTGTATAAATGGGAACAGCTTGTTCTCAGATAGGTTATGTTATTTTTAGTTCGTGTTGTGACCAAAACCTGGCTCACCTAAAAAAACAAATCACTTTGAAGATATAATATTTGTTAAGTATGCATATAACAACAGTGTACACTGGGCTTGCAGCAAAGCATTGGCAGCATCCTGAGCAGCCCTGAGCAAAAAGCAGAACCATAGCTTATAAACCTTTGGCCTGCTACATTGAAAGGACAAGACAAAGGCAGACAGAATAAAATACAGCATGATGTTGGAATGGTTTTGATAAATGGATGATTTTCTCATTATTTATCCTTTATTATTAGATCAAGCATGCTAGCTATATTATCTTCAAGATATAGTCAGTGAATATAAACACAATGGTTTATTGGCCTACTGGTTTCTGTTTGATATCTTCTCCCGAAGTCAGGATCGATTTGGTTTCCTGCAAATGTTTCTTTACAAGGGCACTTTCAGTAGTTCACATGAAAGGAGCGAGGGAGGAGGCATCTCATAAGATTGATAATGAAATGCAGCTCACACGTGAAGGGAGGGGTACTTTTATTACCATACTCACTAGAGCATAAGTATATAATCCAGTATTACAAGAAAATCATTCATGTGCATACAGAGAAGGACAGATGGGACAATCTTTCAAAGGATGTGGCTACTTCAGTGCTTTAAGAAAAGAAACTAATGCTCTAAGAAACTTCTCTTTGGAATATTTTGCACAGCCCTATTAATGCACAGAATAGTAGAACGTTATTCTCTGTTCATTTATTTATATCTATTAAATTTATATTATAGCATATAATACAGCAATCTTCCTTGTTGTATTCTAATATATAATCCAAAGAATCAGATCCTGCACAAGTCCCTACAGTCTTTTTGAAACATTTTTAGAAAGAGTTTGCCATGTCAACTTTCACAATCTGCAAAAGGTGGCCAGGTTACCCAACTGTTTTCATGCCTAAGGCAGAATTAGACCTCAACGCACAGTCTTCCATTTTTAGCCCAGTGCCTTTAACCGCTACAATAACTTGATTCTCGTATTTGCCATTATATTAATCATTTTTTCCCCATGTTTTTCTTTAAGTTTTTTGATGTAATATCAGCGGGTGAAAAACCCCTGGCAGAACAAGATTGGTATCATGGGGCAATCCCAAGAATAGAAGCTCAAGAGCTATTAAAACAGCAAGGAGACTTTTTGGTGCGAGAGAGCCATGGGAAGCCTGGTGAATATGTCCTTTCTGTGTTTTCTGATGGGCAACGGAGACACTTTATCATTCAGTATGCTGATGTAAGTTTGACATTGATTTTTTTAAGTGATTGAAGTGCACTTGATTTCAATAACTACATAATTAGTTTTAAATTATAGTTAGATAGCTAAATAATTATGCACAGCTTGGGTGTTACGTTACCTACCTGCTTCTTTAAAGCTAAGAAATCATTATCCACCTCTTAAGAGCCACAAGTACTGTTTTGTGCATTTGATTCAGGATTCAGTAGTTTTCAATAGTGATCTTTCAACCTTTGAACTGGCGCATAGGAATGTTCTTTGCTCTCTTGTTAATTTCTAATTAGAGATCTTTAGAATTGTGTGATTGCTAGTTGCCATTTTTATCCTAAAATGCACTGATCGGAGAGGTGCAGTTCTTTATTTTTTCAGCATTGGTTCTTTCAATTATTCTTGAATTTCATGACTAGAACCTTATGTAGAAATTTCTAAAAATGATAACGACTCCCCCCCCCCAAATAGGCAAACTAGTATGTTAACAATTGCAATGCATCACTGTGCAATAAGACTACTGCAGTGCATTCTACAAGAGGCTGCCTTTCAAGAGCATTCAGGAACTGGAATTGGTGAAAATGCAACTTCCCAATAATTGTTGGGTTTTACCTCCAAGTATACATGTGCCTTAGTCCTTACATTCATTGCCAGTAGGTTTTTGAATGCAGTTCAAAATGCTGATTTTTTTCCCCCTGTAAAGCCTGTGTGGCTTGTGCCTGGTATTATCAGGAGCACCATTTCCTATTTGAATTGGCCAGTACTGTATGTTCATGCCAGAAGAAACACTTGATCGTACCCCAGTTCCAAAGAAGTGAAGGCAACTGAGGCCAGGAGATACTACTTTTGTATTGCAGCCTCCTGTGGAATAGCCTCCCCTTAGCTTGCCCCATCTGTTACAAAGTTCCTCAGAATGGAGCTCTTCTGGACAGCGTTTGGTGAGTTTCTATGTTGCCACCATCTTTAATAGTAGTAGATGCATGTATTACTGCCAATGGACTGAGTTGGCTTTTTTATATTCTATGCTTAGTTTTTTATAAGTTTATATTTGTACTCTGGATTTTTAAATTGTTGATTATAAATTAGGAATGTTTCACTGTTGATGTTGTAAACTGCAATGAATCTGTAGCTGACTACACATTATATAAATGGAATGAATGAAAGAAAAAATATAAAGCAGAATGTTCTCAGGAACACTGGCATATTTGGTTTCCAGACTGCAGAGTTGTACACAAGCTGTTCCTGTTCTTCAGAGGTATACTGCTAGTAAAAGGGAGGATGGGTGAAGTTAATTATTTAAACAAATTCTCCTAAAATCATGAAACTGTGGTAGGAGGATACCTATGCTCCATTTTTCTACCCTAATCCTGATTTTAGATACATGCATGTCCTAATATGGCCAGAGAACTTTTCATAAAGCTGTAGTATAAACACAATAGATAATTCACAATTGTTTTATTGAATTGTGAAATAAATATTTCTAATTTGAGGAATGCTTAATTCATTTTTTTCACACAAACTTCTTAGTGGAAATAAATCACTCAAGCATTTAAATTCAAAAGAATCCACAGATATAAAACACCTCAAGCATTTACCGCTTAAAAGCCTAAACAGAAAAGATTAAAATATGAAGAGTATGAAATAATGTTTTCTGAATTAAATATGGATGGAGATTATATGTAATTATGGGATTGGGTTACTGCTCTGCAAGAAGCAGATATTAATAGAGCTAAATAAAGCTAAATGTCTTGAAAACCTCCTGGAGTACCTCCTAAGATATATTTAGCCATCTGAAATTTATGGTGTAATGATTACCGTATTATATAATCATCTTATATTTGGGGTATTAATGAAGTTTTTTCAAAACCTGTGCCCAAATATTATCTCAAAGACTTCATTATTAAAAGCAATTGTAAAGACAATTGTAGTTGACCAGAACTATTTCAGAAAAGCAAATTTTGTGTGTGTGTGTGTGTGTGTGTGTGTGCGCCCGCACGCGCTGTATTTGTTGAGCTCCACATTTTTTTCTCACTTAATACTCTAGGACAAGAGTTATGAAGCAACCTTCATAATCTTCAGTGGGAAGAAAAGCCCTGTTATTTGTTTACATGATTCATCATAACTGTGTTTTAAAGGAATATTAGACTGTTTAAAAGTTCCCTAACTATTTTTTGGATTACTGTATATTCTTATTTTGCTTTATTCCATATATGAACAATATCCATTTATATCCTGTTAAAATAGTTCAGAGATAAAAGAGATATTGTATATTTCAGCTACTTTCAATGGAGATATTTCTATTGTTTTGTTTTAAAAACAACTATTAGAAAATAGGTCCGAGGTTGCTACTCTATTCTAATTTTTATTCCATGGCTTAGAACAAAAGTTATATATTCGGTTGTGAAATATTTTCTTTGTTAAAACTGGATTTCAAGGCACACGCTGAATATTGCTTCTTGTATTTGAAGACAGTTTATGGTTTTTCTTATCCATAAGATACTACTACTAGTAGTAGTACTAGTACTACTAGTACTAATACTACTACTACTAATAATAATAATAATAATAAAGTTGGAAAGGACCTTGGAGGTCATCTAGTCCAACCCCCTGCTCAGGCAGGAAACCCTACACCATTTCAGACAAATAGCTGTCCAATCTCTTCTTAATAACTTCCAGTGTTGAAGCATTCACCGCTTCTGGAGGCAGGTTGTTCCACTGGTTAATTGTTCTAACTGTCAGGAAGTTTCTCCTTAGTTCTAGGTTGCTTCTCTCCTTGATTCATTTCCTTCCGTTGCTTCTTGTCCTGCCCTCAGGCGCTTTGGAGAATAGCTTGACTCTCTCTTCTTTGTGGAAGCCCCTGAGATAATGGAACACTGCTGTCATGTTTCCCCTCGTCCTTCTCTTCATTAAACTAGACATACCCAATTCCAGCAACCGTTTCTTATATGTTTTAGCCTCCAGTCCCCTAATCATCTTTGTTGCTCTTCTCTGTACTCTTTCTAGAGTCTCAACATCTTTTTTACATCGTGGTGACCAAAACTGGATGCAGTATTCCAAGTGTGGCCTTACCAAGGCATTGTAAAGTGGTATTAATACTTCACGTGATCTTGATTCTATCCCTCTGTTAATGCAGCCTAGCACTGTGTTGGCTTTTTTGGCAGCTACAGCACATTGCTGGCTCATATTTAAGTGATTGTCCACTAGGACTCCCAAGATCCCTCTCACAGTTACTACTATTAAGCAAAGTACCCCCTATACTATACCTGTACATTTGGTTTTTCTTGCCTAAATGTACTATAGAACCTTACTTTTTTCACCATTGAATTTCATTTTGTTAGATAGTGCCCAGTGTTCAAGTCTGTCAGATCTTCCTGTATCTTAAGCTTATCTTCTGGACTGTTGGCTATTCCTGCCAGCTTAGTGTCTTCTGCAAATTTGATGAGTTCCCCTTCTATCCTCTCATCCAAATCATTAATGAAGATGTTGAAGAGCACTGGGCCCAGAACAGAGCCCTCGGGCACCCCACTACACACTTCCCTCAATATAGATGCAATTTCATTGAGGACCACACGCTGACTATGGCCGGTCAGCCAGCTACGAATCCATCTGGTGGTGATGCTATCTAACCCACATTTTTCTATCTTATCAAGTAGTAGGTTGTGATCTACTTTATTAAATGCCTTATTGAAGTCCAAGTAAATTATATCCACAGCATTCCTCTGGTCCACTAGTTTTGTCACTTGGTCAAACAATGCAATAAGATTTGTCTGGCGTGATCTGTTTTTGGCAAACCTATGTTGGCTTTTAGTAATGACTTTGTTTGCCTGTAGATATTCGCTGATTCATTGTTTGATTATCTTTTCCAGAATCTTCCCAGATATTGAGGTCAGTCTGTAGTTTCCTTGATCTATTTTTTTTCCTTTTTTGAAGATGGGAACTACATCAGCTCTTTTCCATTCCTCTGGTAGTTCCCCAGTGCTCCAGGATCTTTGAAAAATATAGTTAAGTGGTTCTGAGATCACATCTGCCAGTTCCTTGAGAACCTTGGGGTGTAATCCATCTAGTCCTGGTGATTTGAACTCATTTAGGCTGGACAGGTGCTTACCATTTTCTTGCCTATCTTAACTTGTGTTTCTAATCTATTTTTTATGGCACTATTTTTGATAGGTTGGACTGTTTTTTCCCTTTGTGTAAAGAGAGATGCAAAAAACGAGTTAAATAATTCTGCTTTCTCCCAGTTGCTTGTTACCTTCTTGCCATTTCCCCCCACTAATGGACCAATCATTTCCTTCACTTTTTTCTTCTTTTTACATGTTGAAAGAAACTTTTTTTATTATTTTTGACTTTGGTCGTAAGCCTTAGTTCATTTTGAGCCTTAGCTTTCCTCACTTCATATTTGCAGGCACGGGGCTATTTGCTGATATTTTACCTTAGTTATGTGCCCCCTTTTCAACATAATATTTATCTCAATTTACTGAAAAAATTAAAGTTCTGTTCAATTAAGCTGTAATTTCTTGTTCATTTTTATAGCATGGTAATGCTTTTACAATTAAATTATTTCCACAGAAGTTCAGTTTGGTTATTTATTGTACAGTATATCCTGATTTGATGATCTATAAACTTTTTATTTTGAATGACGTTTACAATTTTATTTAGTAAATATGTATATTGGCTACAATTATAGTGTTGGATATAACAACAATGAACATCTGTAAGTTAAATAAACTGTCATTTAAAACCTTCATGAAGAGAGGAATGAAGATAGTAAAAGAAGCAATTATTAATTTATATTTCCAAATGTTTCCAGCTGCTGAACTATGGTTTAGCAAACTAAGTCATACATTATATATTATCCAAATAATTATAGTTTAGTAAATCATTTCAGCATTCGTTGGTAGAGGCTCTTAGAGGACAACTGGTTGCATAAAACAGCGGTAAAGTCAGACATGGCTTTATTAATGGAAAGAGCACCCGTTCCTTAACTTTGGTATTTCTTCCTCAATTTTGTCCTATAGAATCAATACAGATTTGAAGGAACAGGATTTTTAACGATTCCTCAGCTTATAGAATATCATTATACAACAAAGCATGTGATTACAAAGAAATCAGGTGTTATTCTGCTGAATCCTGTTGTTAAGGTATGTATATTTAATACTAATGGTGGAAACTGAAAACTAGGCTACATGGTATTATGTAGTTCTCTTTTTTATGAATATTTGATTTCTTGTCATCATTTTTATTGTTATTCAAAAAAGGTAAAATAGAAAACTCCAGAAAAGAAGATTCACAGGAACAATTAAATAAACAAACAAAAAAAGGAACAAAATATTAAAAAGTGCATTTAGGAAAAAAAAAATATCACAAACACACATACATATATTATTCCCTCTAGGTGAATACTGTTAAATGTATTACAATATTAGTTTCCCACTCCTTGTGAAACAGGCCCAGCATTTTTTCAAACTTCTAATTCTGTTTAAAATTATTAACCTGTCATTTATCTACTATATTAATGGCCAGATAATTAACAAACAGATAGAAAAACAAACAAACAAAAAAGGCAAAAACAAACTATCACCCTCTGCTAACAAACTATTATTGTATTCAATTTGTAGGAAATTTACCATGGTTTCTTTTCTATCCCCAATCATCCCAACAGTTAACTCTGATTCGTCCTGAATCAAATATGCATGATTGTATCTTAATGACATCTCTTATCAATTGTTCTCTAGTTAAATATAGTAGATCCATTCTCCAAAGTCTGTTTATCTTCCCCAAAAAGTCCAACTGACATTATTTTTTTGAGTTGAGTATGATAAATCCATTCTCCAATCTTCACTTGTCCATTCAGTTTTCTATTATTGTAAAAGAGTGCAAGCTTGAACTTTGGAAAGGCATGCATAATCCTCTCAGGCAGTTCTAAGTTTAAACATTCATATCAATCTCTTGTACCGAATCTACCACAAAAATTCCTTTTGTGAATCTAATTTAACTCCAATTACTTGCATTTGGATTTTTTTTTTTTTTGCAAACATTATTATGTTGTCAAACTGTTTAAAAAAGTTTTCAACTTCGGTTTGCATATTACCAAAGGATCTTTTTTCTACAAGCTAAACTTAGTTGTCTGTAATATGATACATTGCTGCTCTAGTATAACTTGGTAAGGGAGAGGTAAAGCTCCTCTGAAACTGGGAGGATATTCCTTAGAATAGAGAGGCGGGGAGAATATTTTTAGATGTTTCACTAAATAATATTTGAAAAAACTAATATTTGAAAAAATATTCTACAAAGTGTAGTGAAAGTCCAAAATAGATGTAAATGAAGTCTAAACATTTCCATTACTCCAAGGCCACGACCCCAACCAGTCGTAAGTCGAGGACTACCCAACCGGTCATAAGTCGAGGACTACCCAACCGGTCGTAAGTCGAGGATTTTCCCTGCCTGGGAGCGCCGCGCATGCGTGGTGCTGCCCCCTGCGCTGGCCAAGGCGTAGCTGGCAAGGGGCAGCAACGGTGCAGGGCGACCACCGGCTGGGTCACTAGCTGGCCCAGCCCAAGGGAGTTAAGGCACCCGCCGGGCCCCATGCACGCCAGCAACCCTCCCTGCGCCCGCCGGCCTTCCACCTCCCACCTCTGGCCCTCTTTTACTTACATTTTTAGTAGTTGTTCAGCAGGGAGGGGTGGAAGCTTCTAGACAGCTCGCCTTCGCTGCAGACAACTTGCAGCACCGTTTGCAGACTGGGGCTTTTGGCAGGCTCAGCAGGGGAGAGACAGCCTGGACAATTCCTATTGGCTTTTGAAAGCCAATAGAATTAGACTCTATTCAAGAGAGTCTATTCTATTGGCTTTCAAAAGCCAATAGAATAAAAGGGAGTAGCACAGCTAAGGAAAAGGGGAAAAAAATGGCGGACTGCGTTGTTTGGCAACCCCCGTGAAATGGTCGTTCGACCCCAAATGGGGTCGTGACCCACAGGTTGAGAACCGCTGCTCCAAGGCATGCTGTTTTTCCTTATGGAAGACAAAGGTTATTCAAAAAAGTCAAAAAGATCAAAGGAGAAGAGCAAAAGAAACAAAATCCAGCAGGGGGTTAAAATAAATCAGCATTGAACAGGCCGGTCAACTTTTGAGATAGGAAGCAAAGCAAATCAGAAGCTTTAAAAAGTGTAGTTGATACCCAGGCATGCTTAAGAGAATGGTCTACCAAAAGGAAAAAGATGGATGACCTGGTTTTCCAGTGCTTCCACTAGGAACTGTAATTTTCAAGATATCTTGTCCCTGGTGGCTCCATGGCAGTTCAAAAACCCTCTTGGGTGTTCCTAAATGCTCCTATTCAAATCCAGGGAGCTGGGCTGCCAAAGAACCAGTTTTTGCAGCAAAATTGGCAGATTGTAGGTAGAAGAGAAAAATCTCCCTACTGTTCAGTAGCTGTCTTGAGGAGCAGTCCATGAATATTTGATCTTGCTTGCATATTTTGTTTCTAAAATCATATAAAACACTTAACCTTTATTCTTTCAAAGAGTTATGCAAGCTCAGACACATTAGAAAATTAAAATGTCAAGCAGACTAAAATTACTGCTTCATGTTGAAGCATTTCGGGGTTTTCTTCTGCATTGAGGCGGACACTTGGGTGCAACACTGGGATAACCAGAAAATGGGTGGTAATCTGGGATGGATTATTGGCAGTTGGGGGCATGAAGATTTGTGAAGGACTCTGGATAGCAAAGGACAAACCAATCCTAATCATAGTTGCTAAACAAGAACTATCTATAATATTAGTCCTCATTTTGGGGTTTTTTTTTCACCTTTATATAGGCTTTGTTTGTTTGTGAATGGATATTTTATCCTTCTCTGCTTCCCATAAGGTTACAACATTTGTTCACAGGATTTGTATAAATGTATTTTTCCAAATAATAACATGTAATTATTATTAGAATATGAACCCAGACAGTAAAGCAGCTGAAGACTTCTAGTAGTTACTTATAATAATACTTTCTGAATAAAGTATGATTTGTGTGTGTGTGTGTGTATGTGCATACCAGGAATACGTTATGAAAGAGGCTGTTTAGGGATGGGCAACAATCACTGAGATTAGTCATTTACTTTATGGACTAAAAATATATGAACCTCCCATGTTACAATACTAATATTAGATGTATCTTAAATCTTTTTATGCTATTCTTGTAATAAACCTTTTAGATAAGAAATATTTGAGTTTTACTGAGTGCCCTGATAGTTCTCTTGGTAATGGAACAGTCACCTATCAAATATTCATTTGTATTTATTTTAACTGGGTTTCTTTAAAAAAACCTTCAAGCAGCTAAATTGTGATCATGCTCATAAAATCAGACAAATCAATTTATTTATCAAATAACTAGAGTAAAAAGGAATTTCAAAATATTTTGTTAGATTTTTTTCATGTGATGCAACACAAATGCTTTCTTTTATGTTAAGTACTACTTGATCACGGCTTGATTGCTTGTTTAAAATTCATGTGAGGTAAGTCCTTGGCAGGAGTCCTTGAATATTTTAATTCTCCTTTCATACAAAATTATCCTACGTGTATCCATTTAGTAATTGGAATTTAAACTGAAGCATCAATTGATGCTATGGAACAAACAAAATGATGTTCAGTTAGCTTATTGAATAAATGATCATTTTTTTACTGTGTCATTGAAGTAACTATTAATAGATATGGCCCAATTACATATCATGTTCACTATATGTCAAGCTAGGAATCATAATGGCAAATTCTTAAATAGAATTTAAATTACAAGTGCCAAAAACATTAAACAACAGTGTGTGAGTAATTTTTTTTGAAGGAAAAAGAGGTAAACAAAGATTTCCTTTTATGCTTACATATAAAGTAATAATGTGTTGCCAATTCAATAAATTATCATTAGAGTAATGAAAATTCTATTGCAGTAATCATGCCCCAAATATATTTGACAAGATACTAGTAGCCTATATACGGTGTGTGTGTGTGTGTGTGTGTGTGTGTGTGTGTGTGTATACATATATACTGTATATGCCGGCGTACAAGGCGACTCGGCGTATAAGACGACCCCCGTCTTTGTCGCCGAGTCGCATTCCTAAAACGTCGTCTTATACGCCGGAAACTACCAGTATTTCTGGCGTATAAGACGACTCCCGTCTTTGGCGCCGATTTTAATGCTTGCGGAAGTCGCCTTATACGCCAGCATTTACGGTGTATGTGTGTGTGTGTGTATGTATGTGTGTGTGTGTGTGTGTGTGTGTGTGTGTGTATGCTTTTATAAATATATTTTAAAAATCAATTATATATATATGTATTGCGCTTTCTCTTTCTGTGTGCGTATATAATATATTGAAAGCACTGCATTAGTAATAAGAAAATAAAGTTAATGTAGAATATTCATTAGAATTTAATATGTTTTCTGAGGTAAGTATTGCATTTGTGTCAGGTTCATTGGCTTTCTGTTTATTCAAAACAAATTTAAAATGCTGTTTTATTATCTTAAATCCTTGTACAATTCGCTATCATGTTACTTTAAGGAATATTTGAACCCATGTTTTAGAAAATCTGTTGCATTCAGTTGCAGCATATTTTGCTATGAGTTCAGGCATAAGGGACCTGGTGACAGAATTGTTAGTACCTTCAAACTTAGAATTTCCTTTAATTACCCTCTTTGGTTTTAAGGATAATAGTCCTTTAAGTCCCCACCCTACCATCTATTTAATACATATTAGAGACTGAACTCATATCATATCTCTTGAGACTTTTTTTCATTTTTTTCATGTGATCATCTTTATGGAAAGCTAAATTTTGCATCCTGTTTTGGATTTCAATTAATTTCTGGATTGAGTGTCTGATTACTATCATTGTAATTAATGAAAAAGCCCTTTGAACCAAAGGTCACATATGCTGTCAAATTTCTACATCCCCCCCTCCAAATTTTAATTCTGTTTCAAAATAGCTGCTTGGATACAGGATCCTAAAAACAATACATTGTTTTTTCCGAGACTTGGAAAGAAAAGTGATTCTTTTAGTGAGAAAATTGCCTTTGAAGTAGGCTAACCAGAAAAGAGTGTTGAACATTCATCATAATTGACAAGCACCTAAAGAACAGGACTGTATTTCAGATTCCCATCTACTGGAGTTT